GAGGCAGAGTTGCTCTGCCCCGGGCTTCCTGGAATCAGCTGCTGATCAGTTTCAGCAGCAGCTGACTTGGGGACCCTGGGGTTCTTAAGTTGATTCTGTATGTAAGTCAGAACTGGCGGTCAGTTTCAGCAGCCGCTGAATCTGGATGCCAGTTCCGACTTACATACAGATTCAACTTAAGAACAAACCTACAGTCCCTATCTTGTACGTAACTCTGCCCCGGGCTTCCTGGAATCAGCTGCTGATCAGTTTCAGCAGCAGCTGACTTGGGGACCCTGGGGTTCTTAAGTTGATTCTGTATGTAAGTCAGAACTGGCGGTCAGTTTCAGCAGCCGCTGAATCTGGATGCCAGTTCCGACTTACATACAGATTCAACTTAAGAACAAACCTACAGTCCCTATCTTGTACGTAACCCGGGGACTGCCTGTAACTATTTAGTTTTAATTCCCCACTTCATATCTGGCATTTTAATCAAGCTCCCAAATTGCTAGAATTAGAGACTAATCTGATTCACAACTGGAATCAAAGGCTCTTCATCCAAATCAATAGGATGGTATTTAGTGCTTTAAAACTAGAAACAGGAATAGTCTTCAAGTGGCACTTATTTCTATTACCAATGAATCGTAAAAAAATTTAGCCATAGATATTTCACTGGTTCCTTCAAAAGTAAATTTCAAATCTATAAAATTTAAAATTTAAGAAAATGGTGCCATAAAATACTGTTGGAAAAGTGAGTGTGTCATACTTACTCCTCATTAACAGGCACAAAGATGTAATCTTTATTAAAGATGTTTATATGCCGAGTCCATGTCCTTACTCTTTTGTGCCTTCTTTGTGCCACACTGGGAACACAAAAGCAACAATCACAGTTGTGGGAGGAAAGAGGGATTGGGAGGAGAGAAGAGATGATGTTGCCGAAGGACCATGTCAGTGTTCCCAACACAGGAACAATTCACTATTGGACACATGGTGTTTCTCTTCAAGCCACAGCCACAGGAATCATGCAATTATACAAGACTCTAAGTTGACATTGGAAAAAGGTTCCCAGACATCCCTGTTGTAAAGACATTTTTGAACATGAGACACTCTCCAGATTTCCCTTCTCGCCTCCCCCTGTTTGTTGAAGGTAAAAAAATAAAAAATAAAATAAAAAAACAAACACACCAGAAGATAAATAAAATGAACTTGTAATATATTATAAGTGTCAAAATAAGATATCGGGGTCCAGCCTCCTGATTTTTGAACACTTAGGGCTGGCAATACAGCTGTATTAAAACTTAAAAACAAATCAAAGCAAATATTTTGGCATTTCTTTTCTGTGCCCAAAAAGAAAGGTTTTGCTAATTTAAACATCTTTAAAAGGAATGTATTTAAATACACTGAATATTTGCATGCTCATGAAAGTGGCAGGCAGGAAATTAGCTCCCCAATAACTACTGCTTCCTACCCCAAATAAATCCTTTAAAAAAATACAACAGTTAGAAAGGAAAGATGCAGAAGCTGGCAAAACACCTAAGAGTCTATGAAGTCACTTACTGAATAGGTTCCCTGATCAGTGTACTGAATAATTTTCTGAGTCTTTTCAGTTAAACTTTTTTGGGATGGGTTATCTATAGATTGTACGGCCAGAAAAGATCATTGTCATCTTCTTATCTGATCTCCTGCATAACACAGGCAATAGAACTTCATCTGCTAATACCTGAACCAAGAAACTGACCATGAAAGATTGTGCTACTATGGGTTTCTGTAACAATTTCAAGCCAAGGATCTTTAATGATTTAATAACATTCACGAACTAAATCATACAAAACCTCTTTTGAAGACTAGTATTGTTAATTAAACCCATTTTATAGATGCAAAAATCTAAGGAACAAAATTTAAGTGCCTTAGCCCAAGATGACACATTGTATCAGAGCCAAGAACAGAACACAGTTTTCTCCTGGTTCTGTGCTTGAACTACCTGACCAAGCTTCCTCTCCAATTTACAAAGATGTATCATTCCATGTGAAAAAATTTTCAGGAATTCTAAACTTATTTTTCAGGTTTTCTAATTTAGCACAGGATGTTGTGAAAACTACTGAATGATTTATGAGGTTCTACATTTCTGTCAACTTTGGGTAAAACTCATCCTGTTCCAGAAGCCATCTGCTTTACCTACAATCTGATTTATGGCAGTGCCTATGCAAAGGTATGGACGAAGTGCTGCAGAAAGGGATGGAACAACTCTCCAGTCCTGGCATGTTGCTGTTTTGGCTCTGCAAAGACCAAAATAAAGAGAAGTTGTGGGGTGAGATCTACTACTTGGAGCTCAAACCGACCATAATCAGTGTGTAGCAGAAGGGGGTCTTATTCAAATTCATAGGCAGAAACAGTACCTGTGAAGGGACTACACTCCAGCCTTCAGTTCAGTTCCTAGATCTGAGATCTACACACCAAAACACTAAGATGCTGTGTGTTAGGAGAGGTTACTTTCACCCTCAATGAGCCAAAGGAAAAATTTCTCAGCCAAGCCAAACAAATTGCATACAACTTGACTTTTTGGGAAAGAATCTGCCTCCATATCAGATAACTGCCCTCACACAATATGAAATTGTGACTACATGTAAACATAATACAGACAGTCCCCGGGTTACGTACAAGATAGGGACTGTAGGTTTGTTCTTAAGTTGAATCTGTATGTAAGTCGGAACTGGCGTCCAGATTCAGCCGCTGCTGAAACTGACCGCCAGTTCTGACTTACATACAGATTCAACTTAATAACCCCAAGTCAGCTGCTGCTGAAACTGATCAGACGCTGATTCCAGGAAGCCCGGGGCAGAGCAACTGTGCCTCGGGCTTCCTGTAGTCAGTGCTGGTCAGGTTCA